TTCTAAACATCTTTCCAACTGTTCTCACGTATATTCCTATACAACAACATTAATAATTCGTCGCTACAGCCTGTCTATCTTGGACCGTATCCTGTAAGAGCAAGAAAGGATAAGTACTTCGATATTGAAATCCAAGGAAAAGTTAAAATAAAAGAGTTTCAATAGACAGACTAAAGCCATGTTTCCTAGTGCAAGATTCTGATATTCCTTTTCAAAACTCCCATTCCAAGAAAGCGGAACTTTGGGAAAACACCTTCACTCAAGAACACTGAAGAAAATTCAGAACCTCATCATGAAACCAAGACTACTAGAACCGGCAGACATGTGAAGTTCCCCAGTCACTTTAAAGACTATTTTCCATAATCGCTGTCACTAGGAAGGGGGTGTGTAGTGTCGCTTCAGTTCCGTTACATTTCTAATTAAATTTAGTTAAAGCGGAATGGCAACACCTTCTAGTCTCCGCGAAGAACGAAGTAAACAAGCTCCGAGTTTTTGTCACGCGATGCTACGTGCATGTAAAATGTAAATAAATCTTATGAATAAGAATCTATAACATCGTATGGAATAAAATATTGGTTCCATAGGAGTCAGAGAAGTGTTATTTTTCTATATTTGTACACCAGACACTTCAGTTGCCCTAAAGTACTTTAGCGTTTATATACAGAATGTAAAGATTTGACGCAGGCGATAAAATCCGGTATCACGTATCCCAGAAATTACTTTTCGCGGTAAAATTAATCAAATAATGTTTCTTTTTATTACATTAAACTAAGTAATCCTCGAGGCTTGTTTTATGTGTCGATATAGTTCCGAAAAATTATGAATTTTTCATGCATATAAATAGTTTATGGAAATAGTTCCCTTACATAATGTTTCTGGATGCTTGCCAGTTCGCTGAATTTATTCCAAAACTGAAATGAAAAGAACTTCCTAATAATCAATATTGTGTCTTCTTTCTAAGCCAAATAACTCATGGCAACCGAAACTGGACGGTTATTCTACGCTACGAGAGTCGACAGCAAGTTGTGGGCCGCCAGATGTCGCTGCTAGTAAAAAACAGGTCTGCCCGACATCCTATATTCTCTGAGTACGGAAGTTGTCGAAAGCGCGTGAAAAAATGTTGCCGCGTCGTCAATCAGGGTTGTCCAGTTGACGTACTAAGTAGACAATGACTTTGTATGCGTTTTCGCCGCTGATTTTTTCATATTTAAACGAAGAATACGGTCGTAGATCTCTGAATCGGTGGCGAATTTATAGAAAATATGTTGATGCTTTGCTCTGCCAAAAGAAGTTTTCATTGCGTATTTCAGATTCCCAAAATTTATAGTTATTTTAATTTGGGGTGAACTGAGAGAGTATTTGGAGCCACATTCAGAAAACAAGAACGCAATTTCTACTAAAAGAAAGGTTATACTATTCCTGAAATTATAGATATAAATTGTAATTGTACGCTTTAAAAATGTAGAAGATAATAAGTTTATCAAGCACATAAACCTTCTTCATTTAATACAAATATAGACATCCGATAAGCTTCTACTCGATTTATGTACAGCAAGAATTACGTTTACTTTAAAATCTAACAGTTGAATACCTTACGAATAATACTGTGAACACAAAAATGTCGTTCATTATTACGCGAAATTCACACTACTGTAAAATAAAATTTAAAAATAATAATAATAATAATTATAAAACTATAAAATAGATTTATAATACTTTTTCAGTAATTGTACTACTATTAGTGTGATACTTTTAAAAATAAGTTTTAGCCCAGAGGGGCTATTAATTTCGTTTTGCCATTTTGTGGCGTTTCACGATAAATGGCGTTTCACTTTTCAAATCGTTGCCACCAAGTATTATCGCACTCTATTATATTTAAAGAAATTAAATAATGAGGAATCTGCAGAATGCATGAATGTTTCTCGCACTGTGATAAAACAACGGTACTAGAGCCATGAAATTCTGAATAACGTAATCCTCCATCCTAATAGAGGCATCTGGAGGGCCAAATTTTAACTGGGAATTTGTATTACTATCCATTTCATATATCATATTTTGTAAAGCATTTATGAGTTTTTGATTAAGAAACCCAACGATTTCAAAGCGAGCAATGGCAAAAACATTTTCATCTCTAGCGCGCGAGACTATGTATCGGAAATTCTAAAGATATGCTTTTTTTTAATTATATGATATTGCTGTTGAATTGAATTTTATGGTTTAAGTGCGAAAAAACATGATATTTAATAAATAAAGGTAACACGCAAAACGTTAAAAAAATGGCCCTTTGGGAGTAATATAAAATCTGAAGGCTTTCATTTTTTTTTTTTTTTTTTTTTTTTTTTTTTTTTTTTTTTGTGTGTGTGCGTGTGTGTGTGTGTGTGTGTGTGTGTGTGTGTGTGTGTAATTTTAATACGTTTTAAAACTGGTTTTTAAGTGAGGACTTTCTAAGGGAAACTGGGCTCGTATACACGTTACACATTGGGGAAAGCCACGAAAACGCCGGCCAGCTCGTTCGTGGGATTCGAACCTCGGACCAAATTACCTGCGTTCAGCGACTCTACCGCTCGGCGGCTGGTGGGCTTGTTAGCAGAATTATACTGTATTATTATTGTATTATGCTAAAAAGTAACAATGCTATAAGACTGATGGTTTGTTCATGGAATAGTACTTTTGTAACCTATTATAGTATTAAAAAATCATTGTTTCTTTGCAAACTTAAAATAAATAAATAAATAAATAAATAATAAAAATACTGTTCATAGCATTCTTATTTTTATATTAAAAGAGATATTTATTATTATTAGTTTTCTATTTAAAATGTGTCGAAACGCTGGTTTGAAAGGAACTTGAACTGCAGGAGACCTACACTGATTATTTTTACTTTAGTACTTCCATTGTGAAAATATTACTATCTTTTAATTTATTTTCACAGAACAAAATCTTTTGAGAAGGAAGAATAATTAAACTGAGCAGTTCTTATATATATACAAAATTAAAATAACAGCAATGTAATATTGAAAAAAAGATATTAGTAATTGTGTGACAAAAATTGCAAAACGAATTAATCACACATACAGGATAGATTAATTTTATTTTGGTTATATATTTTATATTGAAAAAATATTTTCTTTCATGTTAATTATAGAATAAATTATTTAAAATAAAGCATTTTGATGCGTGTCTGATAACTGAATGCAGCAGCAATCGGCCATACTGTAATAGCGAATGAATTTTATTTCTTTTCCTGAAAGAAATAATTTTCATAGAAAAAGAAAATAAAAAAGGGAAGAAATATTAAGAAAGAAATATTTTCTTTCTAATTTCTTATTTAAAGAAATATTTTTCAAATAGTAACTGTAAAATAAATTGCGGGAAAACAGTTTTAATGTAAACATGGAAAAAAAAAAAAAAAAACTTAGTTTGTTATTAGATTGTAATGCAAATTAATCATATTATAAATTTAAATAATTAAAATTGGTTTATTTCTAAAAAGGATTTGAAGTAAGCTTATTTCATTTACTCTTATATCTATTTACTCATTGCTTATCGTGGTATCCCATATCACTCTTTATTTTTTAGCTCTAAATTCCTGCGTTAACTTTCTAAATTAAAAAACGGAGATTTTCCTTCACATAACACAGCAGCATATTCAGCATGTATTGGTCATAATACTGTTTTGTGCAATTTTTTCGAACTACAAATGCAGCGTGTGAGTTAGTGAAATAATAGGAGAATATTCCTAGAACTTCAGCCAGCGCGCGCTATAAATTTCGTCACTCGGTCTGTACTGCGATTGGTCTAAAGCTCCTTGAAGCCTTGTCCCCTTCCAGTAAAGTTAAATGGACCCACCCGCCCTCCAACTGAGGACCACAGAATGGCTTTCTCCGATAAGTTGGGATGGCTGTCCATACCGGTTCTTTTGAGTCAATATTGTTCGCTCAAGTTGTAGACAGATCCAGTGATCATAGAATAGGCGTCCTGCATTTAATTTAGATTTCCGAATGTCAGTGATTCGAACTAATTTTACTGTTTTCTGGCGGGAAATGTTTCAATACAAGGTACCTATTCTTCCTTTCTTTGTGTTACCCGTACCCCGAACGTATTTATTAAACAAATATGCTCTATTCAGACTCATTTTTTAAACGAACATAAACATTTTATTATGCATTCAAAATAGTTTGAGTAAAAGAAAAACGAATTGTGAATTTTGGCACCTCGAAGTTCTGTTAGATTTAAGTGTTTCAGTTTCGGTTTCCCAGGAGTACTTAATCCTTTTAAGCATATTTCTGCTGCAGTCGCTTGGTTTTTATCAACACTAGAAATTACTGTCTTCATTACTATAAAAATTTCAATCCCTTTGAAATACGATATGTCAACCTACAAGGTGTTTCTCCCTACCGTCTTAGCGTGCCTTTGTGGTCTGGTGGTCTGCACGCTCGGCGCGTATTCGAGAGGTCCGTGGTTCGATTCCCGGCGACGGCATTGCTCATTTTTTACTTCCTTTTACGAAGTAAAAAAGGAAGTATTGTAATCACGAAAAGTTTCAGGCATCATATTTCAACTAAATATTCATTTTGACCGCTATCGGATGCAATTTAACGATGTTTTTGGTGTGACATCTGTACGTAAGGACTGCAATCAAGCAGGCCCTCAGGGAGGCAAAGTGACCCAGGAATCTATATAACATCTTCAACGATTATCTGGACTCAAGAAGTCTCATAATCGCAAACAATAGTGGTGTCTATACAAAGAAGCAGGAGAGGGGCTGCCCACAAGGCTCTTGCGCGGGGCCCCTGCTTTGGATAATTACGTTCAATGCGCTACTGCAACTCAATTGGCCTGACCACACCAAAGTAGTGGCGTATGCCGATGATGCGGCACTGCTAGTTACTGGCCGTACGCGAGACGAACTGGAGAGGAACGGCTCCGCCACTTGCTCCAAATTCTATGACACGTGCCAAAAGCTGAAACTCGTTATCTCAGCCCAGAAATCTACGGCCATGGTCATACCGCGTCCAGGTACAAACCCCACGAGACGACCTTGTATTAAGCTAATGGGCAGAAACTTGAAAATCACCAAAACGTTGAAATACCTTGGAGTCACGTGGGACCAAGGCTTGACCTGGCTACCACATCTACAAGAAGTCAAAGTCAGAACAGCCAACATTGCAAAGAAAGCCAGGCAGTTTCGGGGACAAAACTGGGGGCAGAACCCTTACATTCAAAAACTGCTCTACTTGACGGTTGCAGAAAGGATTGTACTCTATGCCTCAGCTATTTGGGCACTACCAATGGGCAGCCGTAAAATAAAAGCCCTGTCAACAATACAAAGACCTTTTGCTCTCAACATTAGCAAGGCATATAGAACAACCGCGACAAATGCAGCACTTGTGCTTACCGGGCTCACACCCCTTCATATCAGGGCCAAGTTAGAAGCAATATATGAGCGGGTAATAAGATTAAAGGAGAATACTGCACTCGGCACCACAGTCTTCAGCACGCTGCAGTATGGGCCTATTTCATAATCTTTAGTCTGTCAAATAGCTCTTTGACAGTGAAAATTCCTTTTTTAAATTAATTAATTAGTATTTCCAAAATAATTTTAACAGAAGGTTTCACTCAAATAATAACTCCACAGAATACATCCCTCAAGAATTCTGAGTCCCACCCACTAACATAAATTACTTCACCCAAGTCTTACCGACTGATATTATTCACAGTCCCCGCTGCCGCTAAGAATTTTTCGGAAACACTACACTTCTGGGTCAGACGCGAAGAGAACACTTTGCCCACTCCCCACTAGAAAGAACGTAATTAATACTTTAATTAATACTTTAATTAATAGAAAGAACGTTAACTAATACTTTTTCTGGCCCTTATATCTTCATGCATATTCACTTTTCTTATTATATTTTTTATTTTTATATTATTTTTGATTTGTTTTTGCAAAGTTTGCCTTATTTATCTTATATTTTGTAATTTTCTAATGTTTATTTCAATTACTTTGAATTCTATTTCATAATGGCAATTTCCAATTTTAATTTTTACAAATAATATTGAACTCAAATGCATAAACACGAGGGTGTCGGGGGACAGTTACTCGAGCATTATGGAAATTTACTCCAGAAATTGCTTTTCACTCAAAATTGAATTGGCTAAAATTCTTAATAGGAATAAGTTCTTTGATAATCAGCATTGGTTCATAATTCCTTCTATTCACGGAAATATTTGGCCTGACTTGAATTGCCGGTTTGGCTTAGCCTTTTATTTATTAATTATTATTCGTTGAACGGGAGTTGGTTTGTTCCCCTTGAAAAGTCATCCTTGAAAATTCTACAAATCTGCAAGCAATATTTGTAGAGTTATCAACAATTTAAAAGCTGTTTAAGTGCGGTTAAGCCTAATTTTTAAATAAAATGGCGGAAATGTTTGTTTACATTTGAAACAGCAGAATAGTAGATTTGTCGCCAATCTACAGAGACTAAGCTTCTGAACAACAAAGATAACGCCTTCATTTATTAATGCGAATTAAATCATGCTTAACCTTTCTGGAATTTTTTTCGAGGAAATAAGTGTTTAAGATTTACTTAATAATTTTTAATACAGATATTTTGAGTTTTTATGTATTTTTGCCTTGTTGCGAAGTAAGAACTGAATTAATTGAACGAGAAATACTGAATCGTTTGTGAAAAACCGTTTCTTTTTTTGTTTTGTTTGCTTAATTTCTTTTACACATCGTTCTAGATTTATTATAGTATTTGAATAGAACATGTGACAACGATTAAATAATTCTTCAAATGATATAAATTTTGTGCATTCTGAGTTATGATATGAACGAAATATAACGCTGTTAAGTGAACCTAGCACCAGAATGTCGCTATGGTAAACAAATGTAGTGAATTTTGAAGAGTGCATTTATTGTATTGTGGTTTATGCGCTATCGACGAAGTAGATTTAATTCAATCCAATAAGTTTAAATGAAATGCAAGAAAAAATGCGTATAATTTAACATTCCGTGCAAGGAAGTCATGTGGTGTACATATCACATTTTTTAAGTCCCCTGCTTCCAAAAAAAAATCCTAATGTTTTTACAAACCTACGATATATTGATAAGTAAAAGCTTTTCATGTTTTTTATAAGAAGGATTTAGTTCATCTGTCCTGTAACTAGAAAGCTCTGTTAACTTACTCATCATAGCTCATATTTTGTTTTGATTCTTTAGTTTAGACATCATAGGTACATACCAGTAAATTCTTTTCGTTATTTAAAAAAATTCAGTTGAGAATTAATCTCAAGGGAAATATCGGTTGGCTTTTATTGTTTTACGTTTAGTTTAATAAATTGTTATTATAATTTAATTAAAATTGTTTAGCATTAGCGATGATAAACAAATGCTGTTTTCCAAACGATTATGTATAAAACATTGAATTATCTTCAGTTTATAAAAGCGAGTAGCTAAGTTCATCTTAATGATACGAGATTCATTTAAAATTAAATTTAAAGTTTAAAATTCCCCATTATTAAATACTGCAAAATATGAACATATGTATGTTTCTCCCACATTAGAAAAACTTCGGCACCTATAGCTCGCCAATACTGAGCACACACAGTACTCTACTCGAACATGAGCACCTCGAAGCCCGAATTTTAAATTTCAAATTCTGTTATTATTTGTATCATATTTTGTACGAATTTAATGGACTTTTGAGTAAACATTCAGGGATTGCAAAGTAATGTGCTTCCCTTCGGCAAAAAGTAGTATATTTGTATTTCGAATTTAGTCAATAAACTCGGCGATTTAAAAGAAATGTTTTGCAGTAGACCAAAATGACATTTTTTTACCTTCCAAGCTTCCGGGTGCTTCATTTCGGCAAAGCACAAGCTATTTAATTTTAGCCCAAAAGGACAATTTTCCCAGAAGGGCTATTAATTTCGTTTTGGCATTTTGCGTTGGTTCACAATAAACGTCCGTTTCAAATTGTTTCCACCAAATATTGGAGCCCTGCATTACATTTAAAGAAATTAAATAATGAAAAATCTGCATGAATGTATGTGTGTTTCTCGCACTGCGGAAAAAAAACGGTAATCTAGAGACATCAAATTTTGAATAACGCAGTCCTCCACTAGAATATGGGCACCTGGAAGACCAAATTTCTATTCCATATTTTGCAAAACTTTAAAACGAATTTTTGATTAACAAACTCAACCATTTCAAAACGAGCAATGACAACACTGTATGGGAAAAAGAAAACATTTTTATCTCCAACGCGTAAGACCGTGTATCGAAAATTCTAAAGATATGGTCTTTTTAAATACTTTATGCTACTGCTGTTGAAACGAATTTTAGGGTTTAAATGCGAAGAACATGATATTTAATAAATAAAGGTAACACACAAAGCATTAATAAAATATCCCTTTCGGCGTAATGTAAAATCTGAAAGCTTTCAGAATTTTTTCTTTCAAATTTAATTTTTTATAATTTGACAAATTTTGCTATTCAAAAGCAATCGATGTAGATCTTTATAACTATTATTAATTACTACACTAAACGATGAACTTACATTAGCTGAATCCATTAAAATAATTATACATATTGTTCGTTTTTATAATAACTATTTTGAGTGGCTGGCTGATTAAATGGCTAATTACTATTTAAAGATTTAGCATTATAAATTCACTTACCTTGGCTCCTTAATATTTTACAGGTACTATTTTGTGTAGTGAATGTCAAGACTAACAAACCAACTTTAAGATAAAATGTAATTTCATATTCAGTATGTAAAAATTATGGTTTTGACACATCGTTTTTAGCTGATACGGAGAACGTGTGCATAATAATAAAGATGTTCGTTCTATATGCCTGCCAATATTCGAAGACGACCACAGCCAACTTACCGGAGATAGCGCTGCGAATATTTGGGACTTAGGAAAAAGTGAGGCACAGTGATAATAAATAATCTTGATAAAAGAATAAATGTCATGGGATTAAATACGAAGACAGGTGTGACCATCGCATTAGTGCGTAATGTCCTCGTCATTTGCGTTTAATTCATCATAGCCGTAAATTTTGATTGAAATTTCTCATATTGCTCTACCTCTGTAGTAAATTTTAATTGGAATAATCTCGATAATCTGTGGTTGTGAACAGAGACTTGTCTTGCTGAAAGAGGTAATCAGCATTTTTTCCATTCAACTGGGACTTCAGGCATTTTTCTTGCATATCTAATTAAATCTTCTGTGTGACGCATAAATTTCTCCCGTACGAGTAAAGATAAACACGCTCTGCATTTGTGAAATAACACAAAAATATTAATATAGTTTAGTTCTTTTTTAGTGTAAAAAGTATTATTATCCGTAGCGTAATTTATTCGTTATTAATTTTTAAGCTGTTTCAGAGATTTATGAATATCCCTGAAGTATTTATAATTACTTATAATTACATTTATGCCAATTATTTTGGTTTGGTTTATTTAATAACGGCAAAGCACACTAGGGCTATCTGCCTAAGGGAAGGGATGCCTTCGTGGAGGACTTTCTAAGGGGAACTGGCTCGTATACACGTTACACATGGGGAAAACCACGAAAACGCCCATGCAACCAGCCCGTTCACGGGATTCGAACCTCGGACCAAACTACCACTGTTCAGCGACTTTACCGCTCGGCCGCTGGTGGGCCTGATTATTTTGTATTTCTTATGAACAGTAAAATTACTTAAACGCATATAATTATCCCGCCCTTCTTCCAAGCTTCGGACATTCGAAAAAAGCAGTAATATAACTCTTACCGTTTAAAAACACGAAAAATACTATCCTTAGCTGAAAGCTGTTCAATTTCTAAAAAATAATTAATTATTTATTGAAGGATAACACAGATTATTATTCGTAAAGTACTTCCATTTTAGCACCTAAATTCGATTAAAAAGTTTCATTAGAAGGAAGCAAATTATTTTTTCACTTTTATAACATATATCATTCTTTAAACTATATCTCACTATCTGCTATATGCATAAACTGTGCTTTAAATCAATAATTAGTTAAGGTAAATACAAAAATTTCATTGGCTATTGATAAAATTTTTCCTCTACAAATAACTTCTTTGCGCGGTTGATTATTAACGTTTGTCTTAAACTGTGATATTCAATATGCGTTAGCAGGGTAATTTTTCCTTATTCTTTTCGGCATAATACAAAGCTTAATTTTTCATATAATATTTTAAAATATGTCGCTATTTTACTAGAGTTTTAAATTTCCTTCTTTTTCTGCGGTGTTTCTGCTGTAATTAATTTGAAGCTTCTCCTTGCAGATGTATAATGTTTTATTCTTACTTCTTCAACATTTGGTAGCGTAAGAAATTTTTTTTCAATCGCCTTTTTTTTCCCTATCCACTCTTTTATTTTCTGGTCTCTTTTTTTTAAACTAAAAACCAAGTGCTTTATTTTTTTCCGTTGTTGTAAAAAGCAAATTGCATAAAATAAAAGAAGTGTATTTTTCATTTTGTTATTTTCTTTTTGTGAATACGTTTCACA